ATAAAAGTGTGGGAAAGGTTTTGTACTGTGAGCTTGTAAGTTGGGTTATTGCTGGAATGGTGGGGTGGTGGAGATGAGTAGTAGAAAGAAGAGGCAGGGCTGGTGGATTCTTCAGGGGAGTTTGACGTTGAGAAGAGTATCACTGAGTCATCTCCATTATTCATGCTTGGCTGCGGTTGCTGCTTAAAGCAAGTTGCCATAACTTTTTTGAGCTCAGCTAATATTCTGCTTGAAAATGGATGAGAAAAAGAAACTGAAATTAATGTACAAGATGAGCCAGAGAAATGGAGGTTGGAGGAAAGCAAGAGCCAAAAGAAGGTGGTGTCTGGTTGGAGTTTGGTTACCTATGGAAAACTTTAGACTTGCAGGGCCTATGGGAAACCTTCATCAGAGTCTAGATTTTGGGTGAAGTGGTTTAGAAACCTCACAACAACCAACCTAATAAAACTTGCATACCGATCCAAAGACAGCTCTAGGAGATGCTTTGCAGGTTAATTAGCTAGGGTTACGTCAAGCAAAAAAGAAAAAAAAAGTAAAATATAATTGCAAATTTAGTGTATGTAAATAACTTGCTTTAATATAAATGAACCCAGATTTAAAAAAGAAAAAAAGAAAATACTTTGTTCATACATAAAAGAATTAGAGACCCAACGGATCTAGCCTAGTAGAAAATGGCTTTGAATTACAAACTAGTGATTTCATGTTCGAACTCCCATGGTACCCTGGTTGCGTGTGTAAGAGCATCTCCACCCACAAGGGCTAAGTCTAGGGCAAGGGCTGCCACTATTCACGTGAATAGTGTTAGCCTTGCCATTTGTGGTTCCACCCATGAGGGCTAAGTCTAGGGCAAGTCTAAGGCAATTACTATTCACTTAAATTTATTTTTTATTTTTTATTCTTAAACCATTGATTTTGATAAACTTTTCGGATAAGATTTTCAATTCCCAAGTGTTAATATTTATCATAAAATCCTCACCTAAAAATCAAGATAACATTTTCCGATAAAGTTTTGAAATTAAATTGGTGTGGAAAGTGAATAATATTTGTAGGTATGTATAGAAAAAATTTCCAGAATTTTTTGATATTTTTTTTTAAATTTTTTGATATTTTTTTCATTTTTTCAATTTTTTTTAGCCAAAAATTGAACAACCGTTGGATTGTGCAAGATTTTTTGATCGGAGGCTCCAGAAGAAGCCACATGGCTTGTAATCATTGGGCAATGTGGGCTGGTGGGTCCAACAGTAAAAAAAAAATTGAAAATCAGCTGCTAACGTCATGCTGACGTCAGCAGCCCGAGTTTTGGTGCCCAGGCAAGATTAGCCCGTGGGCTTGCCCAGGCTGGGGGGACCCACCATTTGCCCGGGCTCATTGCTGTGCGCTGGAGCTGGAAATGGGCTGCCAGGGGGGCCTTTTGCCCAGGTTAGGTGCAGCGGTGGACATGCTCTAAGAAACCCTATTCTCTGTAATTTAGACTACCACTTATACTGAAAAAAGAAATCGGGAAGAGAAGAGACCTACCCATCTTAGTTGAGCTACATTACCGACTTTATAAAATAGTGTTTCATGATGAAATGCTTCAGAAGTTCAGAATCAATGTTATTGTGGATTTATCCCAGCAAATTCCCCCAATATCCCAAGCTTTAACAATCGCCAACTCCTAGAGGAGCTGAAAAGGCCATATAGATTTAATTTCCATCATATAAGTTGAATTCAATCGGAAGAAAACGTCAATGTAAGAGGGAGAAATAGACACAATATTCTTGCTGATTGATAGGTATCTTATTATCAGGCGGCTCAATAAAACTTGCAATTATAAACGGTGAAT